GGTTGCCCGGGGGTGGTGGCAATCTGGAGTCATAAGATTGGTGTCTGGGTCCGGTTGATAACTGGGCTGCTGCTACCTGCTGCTTCTGAGCCCGTAGAGAGTGATTTCATCCTTCAGTTACACTTGCTCTTGAGCCTCTTGCATTGCCCAACTGTCTAGCACAGCACCTCACTTGTTTCTGAACCAAATGCTGAAGTGAACTTTGACTTTGTGCTCTCTTCCAGCATAGGGTGTGTTTCATCATCCAACCTGATGGTTGGGTAGTGGGTTTTGCTTCTTGGGATGACTCTCAAACAGGCTGTTTCTAGGTCACTTTAAAATACAGATTTCGTAACTGTTTCCTTCTTAAAATAGGTAGCAAGTTCACTTTGTGCGTTTTAAAGTCTTTTGCTTACTAGCTAGAATAACTGGCTCTCCACAATAATAAATTTAGTTTTTTGGGACAGGCATCCAGTTTATTTTTGTCACTCTTAAGAGCAAAACACCTTTTCTGCTTACGAGAGAGGTAAATAATAAAAGCTTCAAGCCTGCAGAAAGCAGACACTGAGATGCTTAGATGCCTTTTTAAATTCTGCAGGCCTTAAAGGTGCTTTCAGGCAAGTCAGACACCTTGCTCCCATATTAAAGACAACAGAAGTACATCTGCTTAACTGCTTCTAGTAAATGCCCTACAGCCTTCTCTGCGTCCTTAAGCACATACATGTCTTTTGAAAGAGAAAACATTTTGTTCTCATTTGCATGTGTCTTTACTTAAAACAAACAATGATCAGTGTAGTTGTGATTGCTGCTGTTTATTTATGTTGGGCTAGTCTTTTTCAGATAGCGCCTCTTTTCACAGTCCACTCAGGTTTATGCTAGTGCTTGAGTTACAGCTTTCTGGAAACATTGCAGTAAGAACATGGACATGACCAAGTCTGGGGGGCAAGTTGATAGCCCAAACTTCTTAGAAAATATTAAAATAACATAAATAACATAGAAGTGTTTAATATCCAGTGATACGAGACCTCAGACTGCTGGTCTACATAAAATATGCAAAGTGCACTGGGCAAAGCAGGGTTGTTTCTTAATCATTGTGTGGTAATTGCTTCACAGACAGATTGGTGCTCAACTTCTGAATCTCTATCCTATCTGACCACAACTTTCATTTTTAACAAGGTGAGCAGTGTCTACTATTGGGAGAAGGTGATTATTCAGGTGAAGTAGAATGGCTTTTGTGGCATCCTCTTTATTGCCTCACATATATTCTATGTGTGCCTAAGTTCCTAGAATCTTTCTTTCAAAGCTTTCCTGTGCTGTGAGCTGAGGCTCTGATGTGGACTCTTGAAACAGTCAATTTATGCAACTTTGTTATCTGTCCTAAAGGCATCTAGACCTTCATATCCAAAAGTGTGTGGGCTGTCAATGAATTTTGTGAACCACCCATAGGTTTAGGCACTTTAAGAGGAGAAAGCCCAGCTGAGTTTCAGACTGCCTTTTGGTAGGAGCAAATTTTGTTTTCTGCCAAGACTTGCATGCCTTGATGGTATTACAGGGCCAGGGCTTTGATTGTTGGCAATTTCCTTCTCAAATAAACACAGGTGCACTGTTATTATCAGTTGATTATTTTAAAATGCTACTTTAACTTTCTAATTTTTAGGTGCAAATCATTAAATTGAATGGCAATAACAATGGGAGATGCTGCAAAACCTTGTTTTGCCAAACAAAATAAGGAACAGGAAATTTTACGTGAAGAATTAAAAGGGAATCCCTTACAAAAAGACTACCAAGTCATGGATGATTACAGAAATGGTCATAGCAATAAAATAGATATCAGCCTTCAGAAGAAAAAGGGAACACCAGCTCGTTATGGAAACAGTCCCAGACGAGGGCCACGTAGTGTTTTGAGTTGCCCAAATTCACTTAAAAACATATGTCACAATCAAGGGTCAAAGTTACTTGATATCCAAGAAGACCAAATGAAGAAGTGGATATCTGATGACCATTGTGATAGTTCTGACAGCTGGAGAGAGTACAGATCTGCAGTCTGGATTCCCATGCTTAATAGGACAAGAAAGGACTCTTTTCAGGAGGTCGAAGGTGCAGGAAACAGAAATGTAAGAAGACAACTTCAGAAAGACTTAACAAGTGAAGACATTTCAGACATGCAGAAAGGAAGCTCTGGTAATCAACATGTTTGTTTATTTTTACATACCTATTCCATAAAGTAGCTTTCTGTATATACTATTGAAAAGTACAATTTCAAGATTCATTGTTAAAACAAAAAATCGTTTTTGTTCTGTAACACCTTGCAAACTGTCAACTGTACTATATTGCAGCACAACAAATTGTTACAGCACATGATACAGAACTTGCCTCATAAATTGTGTTGGCTTGATTAATTGATTTATAAGTGGTAGGTATAAGTAGATTGCGGCATCTGTGTAGCATCCCTGTTTGCAGTTTTCCAGGTACAATTTGACTGAATCTGTCAAGACTGATAAGGGGTATTTCAGTTAAACTGCTGCAGAATAAGATTTTTGGAGCTATCAATGAGGTCCCTAACCGTATATCTCAATGAAGATAAAAACAATGCATTATAGATATTGTAAGGATTTTTTACTGGCAAGAGGCAATAATACAGTAATAACAAAAATAATTTTCTGTGCATATTGAACTTCTCTAGATGAAATGGGACAACTGATACTAATAATGAGAGTACATTTCTTAAATATTGAAATGCGGAGGAGAACAGAGGCAGGAGGGGTTAAGGTGCTTGGTGTTATCAGTTCTTCATTGAACTTGAGCCCAGAAAGAAGTGCAACTAGATGAAAGCAGTACAAAGCTTTAAAGAATAGAGTATGTATTGGATAAAATGAGAAAGATTGAGGCACTGATGAGCTGCTGCTAACAGGGAACTCTGAAGTTAACAAGAAATCTCCCTTTAGTTAAGAAAAGGGCCAGGGGCGACATTGGTCTGCCCCTCTGCTGAGAAGGAAGGATATTGATGGTTGATGCCAAGAAGGCCAAGAGTTACGTGTCCTTTCCCTTGGTATCAGGTGTCACTGAAAAGATGAACTGTGAGCAGGTACCAACCTTTCATTGTTGGAAGTAAATTGTGTTGCACACTTGAGCTCAACCTCAGATGAGGAAAGAGCGGAGTAGAATACTTAATGTTCTCAAATTGGTTGGGTCTAATTAATTTCATCCTGTGAAACTTAATGAACTTGCTGAAGTAGTTTTTTGGGATCATTGGCATTTACATTTGAGAACTTATTCAGGAGAAATGAGGTACTGACAAATAGGAAAAGGCAAACATCTCTTAAACTACAACAAAACACAAAATTTAAAAAAAGATACACAATTTTAACCTCGGGAATCCATTCTGGAACAAATAATATAGCTTACTATAAGTATTTGGAAGGTAACAGAGAGATGAGTAGCAGTCAGCATGAATTTGTCAAGAATAAATTGAGTCTGTCTAATTTATTTCTTCAAAAGGGTGATCAGCTCTTGCGGACATGGGAGAAGCAGTGGATAGATATTGCTAATAATACTTGAGACGCTTTATGTGATAGTCCCATAAGTCAACTAGAGGATATTTCTCTAGATGAAATTAATAGGAGTGTTGCAGAGCCAATTTGATAACTATACTCAGAGAATATTTATCAGTGATTTTTGTCAAAACAAAAGGAAGCATTGAGCAAGCATCTATGAAGATCCTATTCTGTTTGATGTTCATTACGCTATCCAGATGATGAATGAAGAGAGCATGCTTATTAGTCTGCATGTGCCATGGAGCTGGTAGGAACTGAATGCAGAAAAGCAGGAAGAGATATTAAAATAATTTTGCAAAATTGGAGACATGACCTAAAAATAGGATGAAATAAATAATGGTATTTGCACATATTTCTATTTTAGGTAGGAATGTCAACTGCACAAATGCAGGAAAAAAGCTGCTAGGTAGTAATTTTTCAGATAAGAATCTAAAGTTATAATGAATCAGAAGATGATCATGAGTAGTCAGTGTCATGCTGTTGTGAGGCATGAAAACAGTTGCAACCTGAAATATTCTTTATTTTGTAAGTGTTTGGCAAGCTCTCAGTTGCAGTGCTCTGCTCAGCTTTGGACATCCCATTTCAACAGAAAAAATAGAAACAATCCAAAGATGACCAAAAAGAAGCAAAAACTACAGAAAGTTTAAACAATCCCTGATCTTTCTACAGAAGGAAAGGGGGGATGGGGGTATAATAATAGCCTTCAGCTATCTAAAGGAGTATTACAATCTGTTTTGTGTGCTTCTAACAGATGGGACACAAAGCAATGAGCCTAAAGTTCAGCAAGAAAGATTCAGATAAGGAATAAAGGAGAAGTTTCTAATGGTAAAGCTAGTGAAGTACTGGGGTGGCTATTTGGGGAGCTCAGGGAGCCTGTACCTGAAGGCCTTTAAGAACAGGTCAGGCAAGCATCACTCAGGATTGACCAAGCTCATTTAATCCTGCTGCGAAGCGTGGGCATGGAATAGCTCACCCCTTGAGGTTCCTTCCTGAGCTCTAATTCTATGACAGGTAACAAACAATTACTAAAAATGCTTCTCTTGGCATTTCCTTGTACTTGAGATCTTTTATGTACTTGTCTCTTTTTTTTTTTTTTTTTTTTTAAACCTTTTTACTTATCTCATTGTAACTCATAATGAAGGAGTTTAGTAAACCTGAGGCACTGATTCTTCTGCGTGACCTGTAACTTTAACTTGCCTTTAGTACTTTTAGTCATTAGCCTATAATTAGATTGCCAGTACTGTAACTGCTGAATAATATTAGAAATATTTACTTTGTAAACTTTTTTTAAGTTACTTTGTGCTCACGGAAATAAGTGATTAGTAGGTACCTGTCATAGACTTTCTTGCAAAGTAATATATTGGACGTTTTCTGCAAGTTCTGTCTACACTGATCAGTAGAAATGCAACCAAACAGCTGTTGTATGTCTTAGGAATTTTAGCAGGAGAGTCAGTATGGAAAATGGAAGGGATGCATAAAGTTAAAAGATAAGTTAGACTTCTCTTTCTGCTTCCTGGGAGTTCCATTGGAGTACTGTCCCTGCAAACTATTAAGCCTTAGTTCTGTTTTGTTTATTCTAGCATAAAATTCTGCTGAAAGGAAGTGTATTACTATTCTTTCCCTTTACAACACTAGCACACATATGCAGTGCAGTGAACTGAATCAAACAGCTTGTTGAAAATTCACAACCAGTTCATCTGCCAATTATTAGAGACAAAAATTTGGTATGGGTGTTTTTATCTTTTTTTAATACTGCAAATTAAAACCTCAGGCTATGTTAAGGGTTTCAGAGTTTAAGAAAATTGCATAAAACTTTTTCAGAAGCACTCAGAACTTAAAAATTCCATGCATCTGGACATCTTGTGTAGATGCTTAAATGAAAGGTAAGATGTGATCTGAACTCATGAATTGGCCTGTGTAGGTTCCTGAGATCACTTTTTACATGTGTTCTTCGGACCACTATCAATTCCTGCTTCAAAACTAGCAAAGTTTACCTAAAGCTAGAAATTATATGTCCATTAATGTCTTCCAGAACTATTGATATAAATATAACTAGCTCTACGAGCATGTTCATTTTTGCAAGATGTGTAGCTTTATTAAGCAAGGTATGCAGATACTTTCAAGTTAATTATTTATTGACATGAGTAGCCAAAAGGGGCTATTATCTTGATTTTCAGTTGTCAGTTTAATAATATGATGGCAATCCTGATCCATATACTGGTTTAAATGAAAGGCAAGCGCACGGTTGTTTACGATTGTTGCAGTTACTGCTGATAATAAATTGCTGTATGTCAACTAATTCACTGCAGTGCTGTATCTTAGTGCTCTTAGCTCTTGCAAATAAAAGATCATTCAAATTGGCCTATACTCAGTAATTCTGTAATATTCTAGGTGGTCTGTGGGACTGCTGATTTTTTCCAAATGATTTGTGCATCTAAGCCTTACTGGGCATCCTGAAATCTTTGGACATAGTCTATCTTTCCATTCTAATGGCATACAGGTATATCTCAAGTAGGCAGTTAAATCTACTGCATTTAGTTTTATTTTTTTTGCCAACTTTAACAAAACTAAATAAGGTTGACTTTTTTTTCTCTCTTTAATGGGGCAAACTGTTTGCAGTTCTTTAGTTGGTGAGAGTCAAAACAAAGATAATGTAGGTTATGACATACATGTATGCTCTTGCTATTATCAGATTTGCACAGAACAGACTAGGAAACCATGCAGGGTAGATTTGTATCTTCTTTGGTTAGCACGTAACCAGAGTAGAAACTAAAGGGGGGGGGGGAAATGCTGTGTAGCACTCTGAAGTTATTTGTTTGCTCTCATAACTCTTTATAAGAAATGAAGAAGCATAGGAAACCAAGAAGATCAAGAAGAACTAGAAAAGATGAGTATGATCAAGATGAAGTGGATGATCCTGTCATAAATGAATCTGTGCTGTTGGCAAAGGACCTTCTTGGGTTGCAGCAAGCTGAAGAAAGATTGAAGCAAGACTGCATTTATAGACTGAAGAAGGTGCCATTGTCTTTACCTATATAGTTCTCACCTATTTGTTTAATCTGTAAATACAATGTAGAGGGTACACTTTGAGCAATTTTTCTGACTGCAGCTAAAAAGTCTAGTTATATAATTGAGGTAACTGACAAAACTGGTGCTGTTAATGAATTGTCAAGACAAGGCAAGTTATCCTTTGTTTTTTACTATATTAAATCTTAGTCGATATCTGTACTTTCATAGGAATTTTAAGCATTAAAAAAAATCAAATACACAAATTTATGAAAGCAAGTTAAGCACAAATAGGCTGTTCTTCTAGTTTGTGAATTAACTATAGGCTGGGCCAGTATACTAGAAAAGTTTCATTATGTGCCTGCCCAATTAATATAATCTTCCATGGGTATTGGCTTTTTTCCTCTGTAAAAGACCAGATGTTGGGCTTGATTGGTCCGATACCACCATTCTTCTAGCATTATATTTGATATTCAAACTTTCTGTCTGTAAAAAAATTGAATTAGGAAAGCTAGTGTGCATATTTCTGCATTTTAGAGTTACCACTGCTCTACTTGAGAGGGATATTGAATAAAATTAAGGTAGTATTTTTCTATATCTTAAGGGTTTTTTATCATCTCTATTTTAGCAACCTCAAAGCTACCCATCAGCAAAATACACCTGCAAATTGTGTGATGTTTTGATCGAGTCAGTGGCTTTTGCTCATAAGCACATGAAAGAGAAAAGACACAAGAAAAGCATAAAGGTGAGTTAAGGACAGTAAAAGAAGCATAAAGCACAGATTCATGAAACTGTCCTTACCCTGCTAATGACAATGAAACTGCATTACTTTCAAAATCATTTCTTATGTATTTTTTTTACCATATACATGTTTTTTAAAACTCGAAGTGCTTCTCAAAAACTCTGTGATGCTGGTGAAAAGAATACACTTGGGACCTGGACTTTGCTTTCCCCCTCACCTTGGGAATTTAATTTGTACCTTTTCATGTCCGTTATTGAAATAAATCCTCGTTTAAAGTATAGTTCAGTAATATCTTGTTACTGGTGATTTAAGTATAATTAAAAAGCAGTACCAGACTCTTCTATCTTGCTGTTCTTTAATCCTTCTAATAGTATAATTATATTTAGTCATCTTAGTGCATGTTTTATTGGCATATTTCAAAAATGAAGTGTTTTAATCAAGTCCAGAGCAATGAGGAGTAACAGTAAGCAAATATACTTGGTATGACAGAACTAGAAATAATAACCTATGTGTATAGGTGAAGCTTGCCATTTGGAAATACTGTAAATGAAATTCAGAGCTTGTTGAGTATTATAGGCATGTTTATAAGTATGCTCAAACAAATTATTACTACTTTTTTAATCAAACACCAAAACAACTTCCAGCATAACCTCGATTTTACTTATTTTTAATTAAATTTCTCCTGGTCCTTCTTACTTTCTCAGCTTGAAGTGGATGAAAATCAATGTTTTGTGCAGGTTTTCCTTTTTTTTTTTTCCTTTTTTTTCTTTCCTCTTTAACTCCTACCCTTTCCCACTTCATAGCAGATGAAAGGGTTGGTGGCATTTTTTTCTGTTCCAAATATATGTAATGTACCTCTGCACATTACTAAAGCCTCCTGGAATTCTTTGCATCTATTATGGTTTCTGTCTTGATATACTTGTTTCCAATTACATCCAGTATTTTGAAAAGCTGTGGTAATGTTAATTGGGATAAATTACATGCATTCATTCTAACACACTAAGCAACTAAAGAAAATCATTAAAACATCAGTCTTATCTTTTAAAGGAAAAGAAAGAGGAACAGCTGCTGACTACCTTGCCTCGTCCAACACCTTCCCAAATACAAGCTATTGGTGTCACCATTGAAAATGTAGTGCAAGAGTTTGGCTTAAATAATAAAGATTTAGAAGAAAGGCTCAAAATTAAAACAACGATGGAAAACTTATTGCATCAAAAATTGCCAGGTATTATTTGTTGTTTTGCTTTAATGCTAGATATGCTAACTTGAAAAATTTCACAAAGGTGAAAACTTAAGTAAAAACCTTGATTAATTAAATAATAAAACATTATATTTAGTTACTACATTCTGCTGAATGACGTGATGTGACAAAGTAGCCTCATATCAGAATTAAATTACAATGGGTACTAACGACCCAAACAGACCTGTATTGTAGTTTTACAGGACATGGGGAACATTTGACCTTCACAATAAGCCTTTACTACCTACAGCATGGGAGATAGGACTTCCTAACTCAGCTCTGTGCTGTTGGAAGACCCTTCACTTCCTGTGGCTATCGAAACTAGGTGTAGGTTTAAGATCTACTGGCAGTGCTGTAAAGTAGCTCTAGACTTACAACTGGATATAGAGTGAATACAGTACAATTCTTTCCATTGCAGAGGGCTCATTGAGATTGTACGGCTCCTCCTGTAGCAGATTTGGTTTCAAAACTTCAGATGTAAACATAGATATCCAGTTTCCTGCCAATGTAAGTAAGACCATTTTTATCACATATGTCCAAGTGGTTTCAGATGTTTGCACCTTTATGTAGATTATGGCTTAACTATAACTTGCAACAGTGTGGTAATAGTTTTTTTGTTTTTTTAATGAAAATGCATTAGATAAAACAGAGCTACCACATTAATGCTGTCTTAAAATAACATTCATACACCACTAATGGTCGTGTAATATAATGTGACTTTGTGCTTTATTGAACCTTCCTTCTAAAAAAAACTTAAAACACCTGGACTCCTGGTAGTCCTATAAGACACAGTTATTTTCTCTTATAGCTGAATAAAAAGGCAGATCCGTGCTTTTGCCTCTACACTGGTATATGCGCGTTAGGGTTCCCAACTGCTAGGTTATGTTTGAGCCATGAAACCATCTTTGTCATTTTTGTGAAGCAATTTAAAGTCTTCATTTGCTATTCGAGTTATTTCTTTACGTTTCTCTGTTTGAACACTGAAAAGAAGTTAAGGATTGTGAAAAGCTTTTGATTCTGTGCTTGAACTTATTTCTGCTGTAGTAGGTGTGACAGCCTCATAGCTAAAATTTAGCACTTTCTCGAGGACACGAAGATGGAAATGTAATGGGGGCGAAAAAAACTATTCAAGTTCATAAATATATATAATTAAAAATAAGACTGTGATTTCAAGCTTTGACATGAGGTAGATCCCCTATGTCAGGAAGCAATCATATTTAAACACTGAAACAGTATTTCTTCAGGTTTTTACATAACCAAGTCTTTGACGTAGAGGTAAAAATAGCTTTATTTACAATTAATCCAGGATTTTTTTCTTGTAAATAAGCAGAGTTCATGTTCCTTTTGATATAACTTTTCATCCTTAGTTAGTGCTAGATTATATTTTCTTAGTTGCTGTTATTTTGTTTCCTTCTTGCTGCCCATTCTGGGGGGAGCAGAAGTGGCATAGCGGGTATGTCTAAAAATTTTTTGAGTTATGGAAAACCACCTTTTTGACAGCAATGAAAACAACTTTATTGCCTTATTCACAGATGGCTCAACCAGATGTTCTCTTACTTGTGCAAGAAAGTCTAAAGTACAGTGGTAAGAAAACTTCCTTCTTAGTTTTTGCATTATTCTTACTATTTAATAATGTTGAATTCTACTTCTGCTGAGCAGATAAGCCATATGCTGTTCTGTTGAATAATGTGAGAGTGAAAAATGTTGTAGAAAATATGTTGACAAAACTTGCTTTTGTTTGTGTTCTGTTTAAAGGCTACTGAAGTCCAATTATTTTTGTTGGTGTGAGAAATTCTAGTTGAGTGTTCTTCTACATTATAAGCAAAGATGCCATGACTGTGCTACTTTTCCTTCCCCATACTGCTCTATTACCCTTATCATATAGTAGAGGAAGTAGCTTAGGCTCTTCTAACTTGTGTTCAGAAGCTTAGGGACTTATTTTCAGATTGTTGTCACTTTTCTTATATATACGGTTAAGTGCATATGCCTGGTAGCGCACTGATGCCATGTACAAATGAATGCATACAGACATGTGTTTTCATGTAACAAGTACAACTCTATGTACTAATAAAGGCGAATAAAATTTAAGATCTTAAAAATTGCACTCCAACCAAATAGAGCATATACAGGCAAAAAAAAAAAAAAAGAGAAGATGCCCTTTCCTTTTAAATGTGAATTTCAATTAATTTTTTGTCTTTTTTTGCTTTATGTCCATAGGAGGGAAAGTAGAAGTATAGTTCCAAACATGTATATTAAGTATGAATATATTTATTGAACTAGATTTTCTGTCTTTTTTCTCACCTCTCCCTCCCTTAACGTCTGTGCATCATCTTCTCTTGTCAAATGACCTGTACAGTCTTTTAGAATGGAATTGTTTATTGCTAAACCAGAGTGGAGGTATGAAGGCCCAGATCCCAAAAGAACTCAGGATCCCTAAAGTGTTTTAAAAGGAAGGAACAGTTGCTTTAACACCTTGTGCAAAGCCTTTTCCTGTGAGTCAGGAGATACAGGGGCAGAACATTAGGCATTTGAAGAACCCAGTGTCAAAACCAAGATGTTTTCAAAAAGGTTAGGTGTCACAATGGCTAGGTGGCACCAAGAAAACACTTCTCAGTTTCAACATTTCTGAATTAGGTATCTAAAATTGCATCATAGTTTCTTCTGGATCTGGCCCAGTGAAACAGCTAGGTGTCAAATAGTAGCTTCTGGTTTTGATCAATATGCTCTTATTGGAAAAATGAACGGAGTGGCATTTGAACTTCTTAAATGTAAAGATAAAAACAAAACTGAACTGAATTTGGAAACCTATATAAAAGATAAGGAGGGGGGATAAAAGTATAGAAAGAAGACATTACATCATGTCAAAAAGCTGGCTCTAACACTTGCATTGTTCCTAGATTACCAGGGAAAATAAGCTGAGATATTTTCTTTCTGTTTAGTACTGAGATAACTCTATATTTTTCATCTTTCACTTTAATTTTGTTTTTACAAATGTCATTGGTCTGCCTGAAGTTCTTCTAGAGATTAACCTGTCTGCAGTAGAGCCAACACTTAACTGAATACATCTGCTTAATTGTATTATACCTACTGTATATATTGAATTTTGGAAAGTTTTGTTTTTTCTTAAGTATTTTCTTTAACAACACTGCTTAACGTAGTTTAGACCACGTTCTTCCCGTTACGTTTTTAAAACATGCTTTAAAAGAATAACAGGATTGATCTGTCAGATGTACTGCATTCTTGGTTGAATTAATTAAATAACTAATTTTGAGATTGTTAAGAAACTGAGATTCAGACTCTAGGTGTACTCCTCTAGCTGCATGAATTTTTTTATCACTACCGTGCCTAATGTAGCTTTTTCTTTTTTCCCCCCTAGAATCTTTTATTGAAGTTGATGCAGATTTCCATGCTAGAATACCAGTGGTGGTGTGCAGAGAAAAGCAAAGGTCTCGGTTGTCACTTTGTGTGTTCTAATAGCATGTAACAATGTAAATTATATATACCAACATCTGAAAAATAACATTTTTGTACTAAATTATTACAGTTCCATGGATCTTGAAACACAAACTAACACTCATGGGCAAGTCATTCCTAGCCTAGAATAAGAGGGTAAGGGTTGTTCTGTCCTCAACTGCCTATTTCCTAATCCCCTAAAGAGTTACGATTTCCAGCATGTACCCTTATCCTTCCACTTGGGATAATTGCTTAAGCAGAAACTTCCTTCTTTCCTTCTAGATAATGTAGATACCATATTAAATTAAGGATTTCTTTAAGAGCAGCTTGCTTAACTTCAGTAGTATGTTGAGAACAGGAGAATGACATTTTATTTTGCCCATTTAATGGATATCACTTAAGATTCATGAAACGTTCTATAAATGGCTACTGATACAGAAATGTTACTGGTTATTTGCTGCTACCTTGATCTTTCACTGTTTGAAAACTTTTCTTGTGCTCTAGAAACACTATAGAAACCACCTTATTATGGGTGTGGAATGGGAAGATGTTTTTATTTCATGAAGAAATTTAGTACTGTAGATTTAGTTTAGTGTATTAATATTTTATTAGCAACAAATACTTAAATTTGAATTGTATTTGAAAACACTTTTATAGAAAGTTATAATGCATGTGTTTTTGATCTAATCACAAATCAAACTAGTTTTTTCTTTTATGTAAATGTGGTGTCTTTGAGAGGTTAAATCCTTTCTTTACAGCCTCAAAACTATGATGTTTTGAGAGATGTCATCTGATCTATCACTCTTCTCATAACACCTCCAAGATTTTTTACTTTGTTTCTTTTTGTTTTTTAGTGGTCTTATTTGTAAAGTAAGTGCAGGGAATGAGAATGCTTGCCTGACAACAAACCATTTGGCTACGCTTGGGAAACTAGAACCTACTGTTGTACCTTTAGTGATTGCCTTCAGATACTGGGCAAAGGTAAGAGTTCTTTGTATTCTCCCATCTGTGAATGAATATTGAATGAACATTAATGTTATGCTAGTGAGACTGAAGGTATGATTTAGAAAACCATTGTTGAAATTCTTTTTAAGGAAGGAGTTGGAAAAGGGATATTAAGTTTTTAAAAATTGTAAATTCTATAAATTATATAATTAATATATGCACATATAGTGTTGTGCAAAATTGCAAAAGGGGAATTTTTAGTTTCAGCCAGTGGCATACAGATTACAGGTGTCCTGTTCTTCTACATTACCAAACAAGTCAGAGGAATCTATATGAGATAGAATCACTGATTTCCTATAAACTTAATCCATCATGAAAAAGTTGAAAGGAAAAAATGTTTATATCTCTATATGTAAACTTAAAAAAACCCTATAAAGCAAAAGGACTTATTCCAAAATTTTGTGTACATGCGATTAAAATATGACTTAAGAAAAGCATCGAGTTTGAACTTCTGTTATATCTATGTAAAATGAGTTATCCTTTTTTGCATATGTGCAATATGCCGTCTGTTTTGCCAGTCTGCATACAATGACTCTTCAGTGTATTTGAAGAGTAGGACTCTAACTGAAAAGATTATAGTAGTAATATGACTCCAGAAAATATGAAGGCCTTCAGAGCCAATTCCGTCTCATAAAAGGAGGTCAAAGACATCTGAGTCTCCCTCAGTAGTTAATTTGACAGACTTCGGAAGAGAAATTATAAGAATATTTTTCAGTGTCACTTGAAAAGACATTTTAATGACTGCACAATTTATCTTTACAGCTGTGCTGTGTTGATTGTCCTGAAGAAGGAGGCTTGTCACCTTATGTATTTGCTTTAATGGTTATCTTCTTTCTGCAACAGAGGAAAGAGCCATTTCTACCTGTTTATTTGGGATCATGGGTATGTGTATTAATACGCTGAACATTATGAACAAGAGGATGGTCCTTCACTTGTGGCGCTTCTTGCTCCACTGAGCGAGCTATAAGCCAGTCGTTTATGCTTGGATTTGGAAAGAATGTGAATTTAGCCAGCCTACACCTGATCTTTGTATGCTTGGCTTTCAGGATGCAATTCACAATCATAATCACTGAACTAGGTGCTTCTGTTTCCTCTTTAGTGAGTAGGGAGAGTTGGGCAATGAAGAATGTGATTCATAACCCCACCTACTTCCTCACTTGTTCAGCCTTTTTTCCAAACTCTTGAAAAGTTTGAATTCACATAGATACAAGCCAAAACAACGTATTGGACTTATATCTAACTCTTTGTTTCCAATGAAGAAGATTGGCTCCTCCTTTAGAAATAGTAGTGAGCATGCTCAGCTTTTTATGTATAAGCCTAATGGGCCTGATGTCTACTTTATGCCTTCCTCAATTTGAAGGGATTCAGACACATTTCTTAATGCTTTTCAATTCAGATTGGAGGATTCTCATTAAACAAACTAACAAATTTTAATCTTAAAGAAGTTGAGAATGATACTGTGGTTTGGGAGCATAACCCCATTGATGATTCTGATTCACCGAAAGAAACTTCTCCTAAAAATGGCAAGGTCTGACCATTTAACTCTGTAGTAGTCTAGCAGTCATTGTTGTTCTTTGAAAAAGATCCGTCTTCTATTTTTGTTTTATATTTGTATTGCTAAGCCATAAGATGAACTAAGAAAATTGCACAGCTGTTTGATAACGAGGCTTACTATGCTTATCTTTTGATGCTAAGAAGCTAGCAGAAAACTGCGTGCTGCTTTGAACTCTTTGAGACAGCGGTTTTAATCTGTGAACCAGAGGAGAAAATAAGTTTACAGACTTGAAGCAATTTTATTTCAAAATGAGATTAAGTGTGCAAACAATATTTCCTATTAGTTTTGAACTATTCTTGAAAATGATTTATTTTATAACAACTTTTGAATGAACAGTATCACTATATAATGGCATGTTATGACATTTAACAATGCAGTTTCACCCAATAGCTAATTTTCCTTTTTAAAGAGTAAAATTATCTATTATTGTTAAATATATTTAACAATATATTTATATTGTCAAATATATTGTCAAATATATCTTTTTGTTAAAACCTCTAGAATTATTCTTAACTGCCAAAATATTTTTAAATGACCTGTGCTATACAAATACAGTGACACAGTATTTAATTTAATAAATTTACGAATATTAAGATGAAATGCATGACTGTTCAAACAAAAAAATCTATTTTAAAAAAATACATTGTATTTTTTAATAATGAGATAGTATTGATGGCATCTATTACTTGTTGCTGTGTACCAAGCAAATAAAAGACACAAAAAACCAATTATTTCATGGAGGGTAAACATTTGCAGACTTGGCAGAATAAGCATCTAGAAAGTCTTAAGTGATAAAATTTCTTTTATTTCATGCCTTACTTGACTATGTGTTTTTCCTTTTGTAGACCTGAAGGAAGATTTGGTATATTTTGTGTGCTCGCTCCATCTCAAATTTAGGCTTTGCTAATAAGGAGTCTCTATCCATTCTCTTAATTTAAATTCAATGTGATATTTTCTTCGAAGATGACAAAAACACGTATAGAATTATTATTAATCATTGATGTCATTCTTCAACCATTACTACAATCTTAGATTTTGAAGTTTTATAATCCCATCTTTTATAATCCTATCTTTAAATTTTGCTTTTATTGCAGTTTTTCTTATCTGGGTAAAGTATTAATCTTTCATGTTGAGACATGAGCCTGGAATATGGAGGCAACTATAAATTTTGTTACATCACATTACAGATCGAGTACAGTGAAACCAAGTTCTGTGACACTATTAACAAGTGCATATTCTAGATTGGCAGTGTTGGGTTTTTTGTTTTGTTTTTTAACAACTAAATATCTATGTAAGAATTAAATACTATTTAAGCTTTTCTTCTGTAATTGACAGGTTCCCTTAGTATTTGATTCAGGACACCAGTGTTCAGCGCCAGTTGGGCAGCTCTGGGTAGAGCTGCTTCGTTTCTATGCCTTGGAGTTTAATTTGACTGATTTGGTTATTAGCATACGGCTCAAAGAAACAGTGTCTCGTGAATTAAAGGACTGGCCTAAGAAGCGCATTGCTGTGGAAAATATATGATATTTAACATCAAACTTTAAAGAGTTGTTACCTTAAATTTCCTGGGATATTGCCTTGGCTATTGACATTGTGTGTAATAACTTAGAATTTTTTTATCTTGGTCTGTGATTCCTAAAAATATGTTTTGGAAAAAAAATCAATTTAAATGTTTCTTTTGGGTAGGTATTTTTATCAACATCAAACGTAGTTAAATAGATTTAAAAATAAATAAATAAAAATTTCAGCACAATTTTTAGATTTTTATATCCTTACTGTAATTGATGGTACTAAATTTAAATTTTGTAAGGATATAAATAACTTTTTTAACTCCTATACTGCTGGCTCACTTCTTTCTACTAGACCCATATTCGGTCAAAAGGAACGTGGCAAGAACTCTGAACAGCCAGCTAGTGTATGACTATATTCTTCACTGCCTGAGAGCAACATACAGGTATTTTGCCTTGCCTCGCAAAAAAACCACAAAGTTCATCAAAAAAAGCCCTCTAAATGCCAGTGAGGAGAAATCCCACATGCTGGACCCTGAAAAAGATGCTATAAAGCATGAAAACTCTGAATTGCAAAGCTTGGATGGCAAAACAAACAGAGCAAGAGTAGATGATTGCATAATTGAGAGTACTGGTATCCCTCAAGCACATAGTTTTGAAAGATCAATTCTATGTGATGGCTCAGAAAGCTTGACAGAAGAACTGGCTGATGATACAAGTCATTTGGGAATTGCCCATGAAGATTTGGACTGTGTAATTAAAGAAATTATTTCTGGAGGTAATGAAGACTTTAAACCAAGTTGTGAAGAGACAGAGAGTGGGAATGAAGAGGAAGATGAGGAAGAACAAGAAAGAAGATGGAGTAATAACTTGATGACTACTGATCAGGGAATAGATGAATGTAGTGAAAATGGGGATCTCCCCGTTACAGTGAATGAGCACGATATAGAAACATGCAGTACTTTAGGCTTTGAAGGTTTTCAAAACACTGCATTTACAGAGATTGAATTTGGTTTAGAGTGCAGTGGTATAATGGATGATAAGGTTGATGTTGACGAGGAGAGCACTGAAGGTACTGATGAACTAGATGAATCCCCAAACAAATTCATACCTTCAACACAGAATCGGTTATCCGAAATGATTAACTCGGATGATGAGGAAGAATCATGTCTTCTAAACCAGACAAAGTGTGATGATATCAGAAGAGCTGAAGGTGAACTACATAACACATACACTGGATCTGGAGATGAGGATGCACTGTCTGAGGAAGAGGAGGATTTGTCCATCCCTATTAAATATGAAGACAAGCGTCTCAAATCAAAAATGGATGGACCTCCGAGGATCAATTTGAGTCAAGAGGATCTTACTGAGACAAGAAGCTCTTTTGAAGAGAACACAGCTATAGAACAGTGTTTAGACTCTGAACTTGTTTATGAATTCAGTAAACCAGCTTTTACAAAGGGCAAGGTAAGTGAGCTTTATTGGAACATTAACATATTGCTTATGTTCTATCAGTTATATGAAAGCATTGTTCAGTTTCATTAAAAGATTGTATGTTTTTTAAAACCAATATTGCTTTCTGTTCATGCAGTCTCCTACAGTAGTATGTAGCTTGTGCAAACGGGAAGGTCACTTGAAGAGGGATTGTCCGGAAGACTTCAAGAAAATTGAGCTAGACCCACTGCCAGCGCTGACACCTAAATTTTCATTTATTTTAGATCAAGTTTGTGTCCAGTGTTACCGTAAGTTTTTCCTTTGAATATCATTGTGGGGAAGAAAAGCATTGCAAAAAATAATGAAATAACCACTGACTAATGGTGTTATAAAGGGGACCAATTTATCTGCTACACAGCATCCAACTCCATTATATACAATTTTAGATTTGTAAGGGCTATTATAGGACTACTGAACATTTTTTATCTAGAGAAATAAAACATTTTTAGGTTTATCTTCTGCATACTGAAAGGTTCTGACTGTCTGATGACTCACTTAGGCATCTTAATATAAATCCAAGAATTTAATTTTTAGTGATTTTTTTTTTTTGACTAACACTTTTACATTTGTCTCTACTTTGAATTTTATTGCTATTCCTCTGGTTGTGATTTCTAGTAAACAAAGACATCTATGCTCTAGAAAAATCAGAGTAAGAATACTGTTTTATAACACTTCTCCATTTTTGTTCTTTTCAAAGTGACCCAATTTTCTTCCTTTCTCTCTTGCTGTTTCTGACCAGACAAAATGTATTTTTTTAATTAATGTATTTCTTTGAACAGGTATTTCTCTTCTACTTCATCCTTGCTTTTTCTTTTACATGTGAATCTTCTCTTGCTTTTCTCCCTGCTCCCTGCCCTCCACCCTCCCACTTTTTCATTTGAATCTTTGCTGTTGACTGTTTTTACAAATCACTTTGCCTAATTTATTTATTTATTTATTTTAAGAGGATTTTGCTCCAAATATTGTAGAGGATCAGGCTCGGGAACATATACGACAAAATTTAGAAAACTTCATTAGACAGGACTTTCCAGGTAATCATGTAGTTCTGGCTTTATACTTCAGTGTTTTCAAAGTATGTTAGCATGTCAGCAGAATAAACATTTTGGTATTTGAACATTTAAATGACATTGCTCAAAATTAGTATATAATATTACATTAACTTGTGTTATCTTCCATTACAGTAACCATATAACTAATATGATATACACAGATGAGACATTAAGTCATGTCCTGGGCTCCCTCCCTGTTGACATGGATTCCCTTCCTTTAAAAAAACAAAGGCTTCAAAATCATGTCAGTTGTGTTTATTTAAAACCTTAAAACAAAATTGACTTTGGGGTTTTTTTTTTTTCTTAGTCAGAAATAGAACACGTAAGTAGGAAGGAACAATGGCAAGTTAAGAAAACAACAGTCAAAGCAGTAGTGGAACAGTTCTATAACTGTCATTTTAACCTCATTTATTAGGCAGTCGTCGTCTTGTTTGTAAGAACAGTTACAACAGCGAGTTTTCTGTAGTCCTTAAGAACCCCCTTAGGAGTCCTGATTCCAAGATTAAGAAACGATATTTTAGTTCATATACATATGTTTCCCTTAATTTCAACATTCTTCTTTGTTCTTATTTTGACTGTGACAGAGAAAAATTGATAATGTCTAGAAGTATTAAAAAAAAAAAAAACAAACAAACCCCACTTGCACAAGGCCAGGAGAGTTTTTGTCCCTACCACAACTTATTGTTTTTGGAATATCTTAAATATATTAAACTTAAATATATAAACTTTATATAAATATATAAACTTAAATATATTAAACATCTGACCTGTCTGCAAAGCCTAGTTGTTTGACGCTGTTTCTTTTATTTCTGGAATTCTTATCTGTAGTACCTGGACTTCAGTCTTTTAAAATTTGTAAAAGCATTTTTGACTGGAGCCTGGTATGTGGACAGATCTGTTCCTTACCCCGAAGATCTCTATAGAGAGCAATCTTTTATATTTTTTCTAGATTTTAGCTTGCATGCTGGTGACTTAATTATTTGACCACCTAATTTGTTTCTGGATCTGTAAAAGACTCATTTGAACTTTAAAAAAAAAAAAAATTAAAAAAAAAAGCAGGGATTCTTTCCTAATCAAAAAGAGTGAGAAAGTAAGGTTTGAAGTACCACATAACACATGCGTGAACACATTACTATTTTTAAGACATGCTGTGGTGTGAAGCTGTATAAAATTTGAGATTCTGCATCAATATGTTATAATCTGTTGCACCTCTTACAGGAACCAAGCTGAATTTGTTTGGCTCCTCCAAAAATGGTTTTGGCTTCAAACAAAGTGACCTTGATATCTGTTTGACAGTTGATGGACTTGAAACGGCTGAGGTAGTTTGACAAGACTTTTTTAACAAATGCAAAACTTCTAGGTAAATTAATTGTGTAATATATTGAAACAAATTTACTTTTTGTAAAAGTACTTCAGATTAGAGGAAAATGCAAATAGGTGCCTCAAAATCAGGTAATGCGGGTAGTATCTTGGGAATTGTTTGCTGCTGTTCTAGATATGCCTTTAAAAATTTTTACTCAGTACTCAGTTTTCTGAATTCTGCACTAATGTTTTTCTAATATTAACTCTGCAAATAAAAATGATGGATTTGTTTCATTGTTGTAGCTTTGTAACATAAAACTAGAAATGGAAGATAGTGGGAAAGGACCATGCCTAATACAAAATAATTTTTAAAAAGACACTGTTAAGACCCTGTCTAGTATTGGTTTTGCAAGAAGTGCCATTTTGAAATGTTTTTTGGTATTCACATCATTCTGTACAATTTGAAACCCTGAGTTATTTAGCTTTAAACTTAATTTCAGACAAACCTTTTATTACCTGTCATACTTTGTCTAGAGCTGTTCAAGCCGATGCAACTTTAGTATTGATTTCTTTTTTTTTCCGTAATATCTTAGAGCCTTGATTGCATCAGAATCATTGAAGACTTAGCAAAAGTTCTCAAGAAACATTCAGGTACTTTCTTGAAAATAAGTGGCTTTGTTTATGTGACTTTGATGCAGTGAGAAACTTCTGGGGCATTGTACATGATAATTGTTAAGATAAAACTGCATTAAAGAGTTTGATATTTGTAAAATGTTCACAACATATACCCTCATTCTTATTTTTGTTTACATATGGTGGTCTTTGAGGTTATAATGTTGTAGGACCAGTTCTAAATTGGGCAAACAGCTATTCATAACCTATATGCATGAGAAGAAGCCTTAAGTTAAAGTTTGGGGCTTCAGGTTAGTAGCTACGTTGTATGTTCTGTGCTCAAAAAGTTAATAGTAAAAGGCAGGTTGACAGAAGCTCGCACTAGGCATTCTGTTTTATTTGCAAAAACCCTGATTTGTACAGGGTTTTGGTGCATCTCACATAAATTTAAGATATTTGCAGTGAACTATCAATGATCTAAAGTTTATTTTGCTGTAAAATTTAGACAGATCTTCAGTTCATTTGTGTGTATGTATATGTGTGCATATATGTATAATTGTTCATAGATTCACAGTGTTTGACAAATGCATAAAATGGATGTTAAAAAATTAATTTTTTAACATCAGCTAAGATTTTATTTTGTAACACTTCTGATGCAGTTTTGGGTTGTGTTTTGAGCATTTGATACTGTTATGACTATATGTAGTCATTCAATAATTAAACTTCTCATTCTAGGTCTAAGGAATGTCTTGCCTATAACAACTGCTAAAGTCCCAATTGTCAAATTCTTCCATGTCAGAAGCGGTCTTGAAGTAGACATCAGTTTATATAACACTCTGGTAAAGTTATCCCCTTTTCTATTAATAGGGGAAAAAGTGGGGCTTCTGGGTGAGGATGAAATGCTGTTTTTGTTGAGGTTCAGTAATAACTTATCAATTACCTATTTCAATTTTAGATTTTTGAGTACCAGACTACAAGCAGAGTCAGTTACACAGTTGAGACGTTAGAGTTGTCACTTCTCTAAGATGATATGTTTCCTCTTCAGTAAGAGTAAGCGCTAGTCTTTCAGGTGTTTGAGCCTTTCTGTAACTCAAAGGAAAAGTAATGTAACTTCAGTCTTTCCCCCCACCCCCAGTCATGGCTGTTACTTAGAATTTGAGACCTGAGATAGTGTTTTTTGAAATCAACTTGCATGAACTGGGACATGTGTTAAAATCTACAAAAGAGCACAAGTCCTTGGCCAAATATTTTTAAAAAAAAAGTTGTTTGTTTTCTTCAATGTCTATGAACTTCAAAAGCCAGTTCCTTGAAATGTCAAAGGGGGAAAATAAGCTTTAGAGACAAGCTTTAAACTTTCTGAAGTTTCTGTATCAGCCCAAGGGGAGTCTTAAGGAGGAGGATACTTCAGCCACTTAGCAAGTCTGAAAGTCTGTTCTTGAATCTATGCATCCATATGGGTCAGCTGATAGCTCTCACATCTGAGTTGAAAATCTTTTAGTTCAAGAACTTACATTCTACCAAACGTTTTGAAAACACAGTAATAGAATAATGCTTCCCTTTCTGAGGTACTGTTCTGTGAATGCTGCTTTGTACCGCTTGTGAGCAGATTAAAGATGTTTATCACCTCTTTAGCAGGTGATAACCTCATTGTTTTGAATGCTTCCTTTCTCAATTATATACATTCTGCTACTCAGGGCTTCACACTTGCTTTTGAGCACACAACTCTAGTGTTTTTGTCCACAAATTCATTATGACTTTTAAATAAATTGGAATGGAAAAAGCATGCACGTATACATGTGAACTCTCCAACTACAGTACTCTGAATCATTCCTTGACTTTGCTTATTTTGACTAAAAATGTTTTACATGTTTTCAGAGGCTTTAGCTTACTACCTCTTTTCTGCAGGGCATATTTTTTGTGTATGACTTTCTTATTTTTATAGGCCTTGCATAACACAAGACTCCTGTCATCATATGCAGCCATTGATCCTAGAGTAAAATATCTATGCTACACAATGAAAGTTTTTACGAAGGTAAGTATACTAGAAGCAGTAGCACCTACAGTAAGAAATGATAACTATGAAAATCATAATTCATATTTCTCTTTCTAGATGTGTGACATTGGAGATGCATCTCGAGGTAGCCTTTCTTCTTATGCATATACTCTTATGGTGCTTTATTTTCTTCAACAGAGAAATCCACCTGTTATCCCTGTTCTTCAAGAGGTACAGTATCTCAAGGAAGAAATTGACATTCTTCTGGTCAATACTGTGTACTGATATCAAAGTGCTGAATCTGAACAGCTCTTCTAATGAGTTAATATTATATTTTTAGATCTACAAAGATCCAAAGAAGCCTGAAATCTTAGTTGATGGCTGGAACGTTTATTTCTTTGATAAGATAGAAGAGTTGGTGAGTATATCAGAAAGTGAATTTGAAATGATGTTATCTGTAGCTTAGCAAACGAAAAATAATTCATTTTAAGGAACGTTGTCTTCAAACATGGTGGTTGAATATAGAAAATGGTTTCTAAAAAAAACGATCTTTGATTGTAAGTTCTGCATCAGTGACAAAGAAGAAAACCATGTTAGTAATACACATAAACACTAGACAAAGAAATGGAAGCGGAGTGGCTATTGTTTTGAACATCCCAATCCCATGCTGTGAAATTTTCGGAACGTAACTGATTGTATTTAAGTATAAAAAAAAAAACTGCAAAATCTGAATAAATAGATT